CTTTGTATAGATATTTACAAGCATTTCTCAACAATGCGTTTAGCACCTATGTATGCCTTGGAGAGACTTTTGACTTAACACATATTTGATAGTTATGTTTCTAATAAAGTCCAGAACTTGAGATAATCTACCCAGCTCCACTGTCCGACAGTTTCCATGACTGCAAGCAATGGACTTTTCTCATTTCAACTATATTCATTCTCATATGTATACCTAAAACTGATTTAAATCACATTTCAGGGCATATTGATTTGTAAAAATGTGTGTCACAGGCAGTCGGCAGTCTGGGAGAAACCATAAAGTAGTCGTTCTCTTTATGGGAACAGCGAGCTGAGTCGACTTGCCCATGCTCGTCGGTCTGTCCGTTTGAACACGAAGATCTCGTAGGTAAAAGCGTGAAATTTGAAGCTTTCATTATTTAAATTTATACGTTGCAGTAGATTGGATAACCTTTTCTATATGCCTGATCAAAATCAATATTTATATTAGTAGAGTCCCTAAGGCTGCCCAAGCGCAGCTGTTACAGCAAGTGCGCAGTTAGCTTATGCTTGCCTGTGTATGTATGTCTGCATGTGATTGAAACAGGGACTCTGCTCATGACTCCGGGTGACTCGTAGTTGTGCATTCCCGCCTAGAGCACGCTTACTATTTTTCATTGGTCTCTTGCAGCTATAAATAACAAATTTCGTATAGAGATTGCTTTAGGAAATACATAGAACTTGACGATTCATATACCTCCAACATTCCCGCAAAAATGATTTTATTCGTTTATTATTTGAATTGTGCTTGCAACAGGAGTTTTGTACATGGCTCAGGGTAATTCTTAGTTATTCATTCTGCTTTTTTGGTTCTATAAATACCAAATTTTTCCCTTAAAAAGTGCTTAGAACTCGAAGCTTCTTGCACCTGCAACATTCCCTCCAAAATGATTTTATTATTTTTAAGTTGAGCTAGCAATTCTGCTGGCGGTTAGGGTATGTGCTAATTGCGCTCCTGCAACCAAATTACTCTCAACGTGAGTGATGACAAATGCACAATAAGAGCTGGTTGCCTTTCCGAATTCATTAAGTAGTCTTTAGTATATGCACACAAATACAACAGCCTTTTTATGTTGTCTGTCTTACCACAACAAGAGAAACTCCAAGAGTGTGTTAGATTCTTAGATATAACAATAAATAAATAAATAAATAAATAATAAAACTTTTCACATTCGATTAAAGTTCCAACACTTTGTCTATTTACATTCTTCCGCAATATGAATTCCTCTTAGTTATTCATGGTTTTTGTAGAGAGCATCGCTAAGTCGTACAGATGTTGCTCTGGAAGCGTTTATGAGTTTTTGTTTTCAATTTATGCTTCGGCGAATATAAAAAGCTAATAGAAAAACTAAAGCCCAGTGGCAGGCAATAGCTGGGATATGTGGCCAGAGGAGGTCGTCGTCGCATTGCAACCGCATCCAAAGACTCACTTAATTAGCAGCAATTAATCTCTCTTTACGACGGAGGGGGCAGAAGGTGTTGCTGCAGATTCATAGAGACTTGGTATGTGGACATGTATGTATGCCCGCCGGCAGCTGATGCCTGCCTGGCTGCCTCGCTGCCTCGCTGGCTGACTGGCTGACTGGCTGGTTGAGCGCTAAATGGAATGCGAGTCTTCGCTTTCAAGCGCTTGCATTTGAATGCGCTGCGCTTTAGCTCTAGCCATTGGAGCGTGCCAGCGACTGGGGTTGGGGCTGGCTGGCTGGCTGACTGGCAGACTAGTTGAAGTTTCAGGAAGTTGTTTTGGCATTCGTGCAGCTGCTATTTTACCACTTTGCTACTAAAATATTTAGTTAATTGTCGCTAAACTCGACTCATTACAGCGCCTAGCGAGTGGAGCACCAGGCGGCAACATGTGCCATGGAGAGCCTGGGACTGGGCAGCAGACGCAACAATCACAGCAGCAACAGCAGCAGCAACAACAACAACAACAACGGCGGCGGTGGCGGCAGCGGCAGCAACAACAGCAGCAGCGGCGTCGGCGGCGGCGGCGTTGTCAGCACCAACAGCAGCGGCAACAACAGCAGCAGCAGCCATCATCCCAGCCATGCCCATCATCTGGCCAAGCTGCACGTGCACTCGCACACCCACACAAAGCTAAAGCACTCGCATCAGCATCAGCATCAGCATCAGAGCCAGCATACGCATCAGCATTCGCATTCGCATCAGCCCGCCAATCAAAACTATTACACGCAGCAGCAGACGCAGCTGCAGCGGCTCAAACAGCAGCAAAAACTGCAGCAACAACAGCAGCAACAGCAGCAACAGCAGCAACAACAGCAACAACAGCAACAGCAACAGCAACAGCAACAGCAACAGCAACTGGAGGGCATTCATGGCCTGCGCAAAGGCTTGTGCTTGGGAGTAAACGTTGGCGCTGCTGTGGGCATGGCCATGGCTAAGCAGAGTGCCGGCTGTCTGCAGTTCCCGCCGCCGCCGGACTATCCACCGCCCGCGGCCACTAGTCCACTGCACAAATCCGCTGGCAGCTCGCCCATTGCTGTGGCGGCCATTGTGAGCAGCAGCCTGGGCAGCAGCGCTGGAGCTAATGCTGCTGCGAGCGGCATTGCTGTGAATGGGAATGGGCGACGACAGCTGTTGCCGCGATATCCCGATCCCGATCCCGATGCCATCGAGATATGCAATGAACAACAAGACGTGTCGCCACATCACCATCTCAGCCAGTTGGCGCGCCAGAGCAAAACGCTGGGCCGCGAAGGCAGCGAGTCGACTGCGGTCAAGTGGAACGCACTGCAGCAGGCGACAAGCCTTAACCACATGCATCATCAGCAGCACGACTATTCATACGCGTATTACGAGCCCGGCGCCGCCATGCGCCACTCCAATGTGCCCAAGCCGGATGGCGCGGCAAACGGCGGCGTCGCGGGCGCCAACGCCAGCTGCTGTGCAGGAGCGCAGGCCGCACAGGCGACAGCTGGTCCGCCGCCGCCGCCCAACTCGATACGCGCTCTGCTGTCGAAGGGCAAGAAGAACAAGCAGCTGGTGTCGCCAGCGACGCTGCAATCATACCAGACGCGCTACCACAAGGTGACCAACACGAGCAGCCAGAGCGAGAATTTCTACGAGGAGATCAATGCAGCTGCCTTGCAATCGACGGCAACTGGCAAAAAGGCGACGCAGCAGCAGCAACAGCAATTGGGCTGCGCCGTCGGCTCGCATTCGGCGGGCTCGCTCAACCAGACGCTTGTCGAGGAGGAGCTGCGCCGCGTGCAGCATCGTCATCACAAGATACTCGGCGAGCTAAATCTTAGCGTTGAGGCCATGCTGATGCCCGAAAGTCCGCCCAAATGCAGCCCGCCTGCAATGACCGCTGCAGCTGCAACTGGCACGCCGCCCAAGCCCAGTCCGACAGTGTGCGTGACAGCGGCCAGCGGGCAGCCGGCAGTGCTGGCCAGGCTCACCTCCACATCGGCGGACAATATCTGTGATAGCAGTGACGCGGGCGGCATAGAGCAGCTGCTGGCCACCCTGAAGGGCACGCATCCGCATACCGCCATGGCGACCGCCTGTGATCTGGACAGTGGCTTTAGCGGCAGCAGCGGGGCCAGCTACATTGGCAGCTTGCGGCTGAGCAAGACGCATCATATCAAGTGCGCCCGCCAAACGCCCACCGCATCCGCCGCCTATGCCACACAGAGCTGTCGCTCCTTTCAACGTGCCACCGCCTATGATGAATCGACGATCAATGCCAACTCCGCGAGCAATTGCAGCTTTCTAGCGCGCGCCTCCTGCGGCCGTCGCATCCTCAGCTGTGCTCGCATACGCGCCGCCGAAGATCCAGGACCCAGTGTGCCCACCGAGTCGAAGGCGCGCAGCTTCTGGAACCGCAAGGGTTGGCGCAAGCTGCCCGGCTTCTCCACGTCCACATCGAGCATTAACGACACGGGCCTCTCAGGTGAGTAAGCTACCCAAATTGCATTCTACCAATCCTAAGAGCAAGTAGTTTCAACTGAGAGAAGACTCAGTTTAGTGTAATACAATAAGCAAAAGCTTAAGTGAAGCCCGGATCGAACGGGGCCACTAGATGCCGCCACAGAACTAACTACGTGCTGCCATCTGTCGTTTCAAATTCTTGTTCCGTGTTAGCGCCACCTACATGTGAACTTAATCAACTCGCGGTGTTGGTTTGTGTCTGAACTAAAAGGTGTTGTATCACGCTGTGCTTTGCGTTGTATTGCATACTTTTAGGTAAAAAGCTAAATTCAATATTTACACCTGAAGCTACATTTCACAATGCACTATAAAAATATAAAGAAGACTTAAATAGAAATAAGCTGTCATAATTTGACTAACCGCATTTTGCAGGCATATTCTAGACCATCATTTAGCAAAGGTGGCTTGGCTCTGAAACTAGAAAAACTATATCCTAGAGCACTGTTTTCTGTCTTCAGTCTTGTCATAGGACTTCAGTCAATAAAGTTAAGTTGTGAGCGCAACAGACTGTCTTATCTTACTTGCACCTACAAGCCCCCCTCACAGACTCCACATACACACGGGCACACACTTGCATATGCAAGCAGCCAGCCAGCGTGATAATTTTTGTGGCACATGCTCCGCTGGCTCGCTCGCTCGTCGTTGGACAATCGCGTCGCTGTCGTCGTCGCCTCGTCAGCGTCGTTTTGGTTTCGCTTGCCGTTTTTTAGTAGTCGCTATTGTTGTTGTTGTTGTTGCTGCTGTTGTTGTTGTCGCTGCTGTTGTTGGCGGCTCATTTTGGGGCTCCATTCCCATTTATCGGCGCATGGTGGATTCAGTAGAATCGATCTTGTCGTGCTTGCCGCATGTTTGCCACGCCGCGCCATCATTCATACATATATAAATATATATATATATTTTTTTGTTTTTTTTTCGTACTGTTTTTATCTCCACAAATAATAGAGCGTGCACACACACACAAAGACGAACTTGCATAGTGTGAGAGTGTTCATCTCTTTCAGTTTCTGCTTCTTCGCGTTTTTTGACTCTCATTGTGAGTGCAATGACTAAAGTGCAAGTGCAAGTGTTTTATTCAGGGATGCGCGCGTAGTGCCAAATAATCTGTGAGTCTCTATGTGTCTGTGTGCTAATCCTGCATGTGTGCATCTGTGTGTTGTTTTTGTTGTTGTTGTTGTTGTTGTCATTGTTGCAATACAGCCAAACTCGACCTGGCCGAACCCGTCGATCCCGTCGACCTATTCACAATAGCGCTGCAGTCAGCTCAACGATTTTTCACTCTGGGGGAGACCTTTGCGCTGCGTTGTCGCTGGCAACATATATGTATATATATATGTACGTACACATATATGTTTGTACATACATTTGTTCATACTCTCATAAGTATTCAAAAATAAATCGACAACTAATTAATTTGAGCTGCAAACTTAGCAGCCGCCGTCGACAACTTCGCATTATCAGTCGAGCGCATTTTAAGTACTTGGGGAGCAAATACATTAAAAAGGCAAGCAAAGGCCAACACCCGACTGCCTAATTCCCGCTCGCAACTTTGTGAACAGCCCAGCGCAAAGGCAATGAATTTTCTAGAATTTCGCTGCCATCCAGAGTCAGTGCGAGTGCCAATATACTCTCTTTGCCTTGTATAGAAGCTGTCGATTCATTAACAATTCAAATAGAAAAATGTTTAAAGCAATATTTTGGTGGCTGATCTCAGATTTTGCAATGCTTGATAATCATCGCTAGGCGATGACCCGCTACAATATTTATTTCCATTACCTAACAAACACACACAAATAGAGACAGACACACACACACACACACACACACTTGCGCACCTATGCAGAGCACAGTAAAAGAAGACAAAAGTTAAGCTGGCAGTGATCGGAACACTTGCATATATAGCAAACATAAGCAGCATCTTCAAATAGTACGTAGTCGTGTGATGCATTTCAATGATGGCTTTCCACTTAATCAAATCCGCACTGGATGGCACTCATCATCAGCATCAGCATCAGTCACTGATGCGTAATAATCTTGGTCTGAATCGCAATCAGCAGGGCAACGGCGTTATTCTCCTAAAATGTGCGTATTATTTTTAATTTATAAGCTCAACAAATTTGAATTGCTCTACTTCGACATGGCGAAGCTAATATGAATTATATATATATATAGTATATTTAAGCTGCCCTAACTAATAGTTTAACTAAAGTAAAAATCATTAATATTTATATTTCAATTTAAATTACATTTATTAACTGGTTGTGTCTGCAGCTCAGCTCTAGAGCCTCAATCAATCCTTAGTCCTTGGCACATCAGAATGGATTCAACTTAATAAAAAGTAAGCAAGTTGCAGTCGGGCAGTCATCGACTGCATAATACCCGTTCACGTGTTAATTTAACTCTCAAATTATGGAGATTTGCTCGATAAATCTATAGAATAGGTCAAGTTGCTAGCTGCAAAAAAAACCGTGGAAGATAAAGTTCTGTACGCTTTGATATGCCCTCATTGGACTAAGGTATATCCACTCTATATCTGAGAGCTATGTTGGCAAGTTTATATTCCGAATTTCGATCTCTCGCTGCTTTAATAAGAGTTTCTGTTGTATCTTGTATAGCAGCGTAGCTCGCGAGCATGACTTCTATGACTTCGAGTGGCAAATATACAAAGTTGCTAGTCTTTAGCTCGGGACAAACAGACGTACAACAAGATGCACAGTGTAACAGGTCTATATACACTTTTCCCTATGTGAAATCGCAGGAATCGTAGGACTATATCTAAAACCAACTGCATCAATATCTTTTGCAATCAAACACATTTCCAAGCAAAGTCAAAGAAGTTTTCCTTTGCTCACAAATTATTTTCAATTTTAAATAAATTTAATTATTAATTCATGAATTGTTCATAAGTATTTATTTTTGTTTTGTTGTTTTTTTCGCAGTCAGCTGACTGTTAACTTGCAGTTTTTTTTTTCTTTTGCTTTGCCTTTGTGGGATATTCTGAAAGCATTTAGATGTGGCTTATTGCTCCGTGCTTGGCTAAACAAAACGTAATTTGTGGCAGGTTCTTGCCAATTTAGCGGGCCAGTAACCATTTGGTCATAGCCAAAACAGCTGCAGGCCAAATGAATCAGCTAACTTGTTTATGGGCAACGCCTTCGTTCACATTTCTTTTGCACTCACATGGCTCGATCTGCGCGCCCTGCCCGCAGCTTCAATACAAGCATACCTATATACATATATATATATATAGATATGTACATTTATATATATATATATATACATATATATCTTTATATTTTTTATATATATTTTTTTTTTGCTGAATTTTGCTTTGCAGTGACTAATGTTATTGTAATTGTTTTTATTGTTGCTGGTGCGTAGCAAACTATTCGTATGTGTATACGTGTGCATGTGTATGTGTATGTATGTAATAAATAATATAATATATATCATTCATAAAGAAAGAATTGATTTGTGAAATACCCTTGCGAATGCATTTAAAAGTTGAATCGCTGCCAAGTTTCGGCACATCGATAGTGGCTCTGATCACGAGTAAAGATAGACATATAGATGCATATGCATACATATTTGACGAGGTTAAAAGTCAAGTGCTGTGCACACGGAGCGAGACAATGGTAATACCCTCGGCGAGAGTGTAGAAACGAAAGAGCAGACACAAATTAATTAAAAGCTTGCAGCTATTATAATAACAACATCAACCACAATGGCTTGGCAATAGCAATAACAATAACAATAACAATAACAATAACACTAGCACTAACAATAGCAATACAACCAGATACACACACAGATGTACAGCCGCAATACGTATGCGAAGCGTGAAGAGAGAGCAAATGCTAAGCAGCAGTAAACGAGATCGAAAGCGAATGCGAATGCGAAGTGCTCAGGTAGAGCGGCACTGACCTCACCCAAAGGAGGCGTTAAACGAAAGAAATTGTTTAAAATATTTATCAATATTATATTATTATAAAATGTGGGAATAAATACACACAGAACTAGCATAGCCATTGAAACTTCTGTTGAAATGCTGATTTCACTTTGAACTACCTTTGCTTCCTCTATGTCGATAAGGAGTGCAATTAATAGTTATATAATGCAATTCATTTATATATATCATATTTACATTCGAAAGCACATTCAAATTTTCGCTTAATCTTGGCTAAGCCGGACTACAGTTCTGGAATAAGTTTTCTACTTCTTCCAGATACAATGAACCTGATGAGCGTAGGCCTATTTTGCCTCTCTTTAATTGTTATTCTTGACCGCTTGCATGTGGAATAAGGCCAATTGGCCAGGTCGCTTCAATTTTGTGTGGCATTGCCGCTTTCCAGATTCACTCAGTTCGTCGGCATCAACAAAAGGCGCTTTCGGACCTTTGCCAAAATCACTCCAAGTCTTCTCAGATCACTTGCTAACTTGGTTTTCTGGCAGTTGGTCTAGTGACACTCCTTTAGAAAACCATTTTCCATCGAACCTATTCTGTTCCCATTCCAATTGATTCGCTCGAAAACTCTGTTAGCTTTTCCTGCTCTCCTCTTCTATCTGTGAGGCCCCCAAGTGCAGAGGCAGTCGCTGGCCAGCGCCAAATTAATTGACATCGCTTCCATGCTGAGCCACTGCAGTGTCAATTGTGTATGTGCATGATGTATGTATGATGTATGCATGCATGAATGTCTATGTACATTCGGGTCATCACTCAGCTAGAGTTCACCTCGCGTATGCCTCGGCAGAGTCACGGGCAATAGCTCTATGGCCATATACTATAGTAAGCGCATGTAATAAATTAAGCAAGTATGAATGACTGGATGGCAGAGACCGACTAGAGAGTACCCTGTAAATAAGTAACTTAAGATCTTGGCAGATTGAGTCGATTCGATAAAGTTTTTCTAGAGCAATCTGCTACCAAATGTCAACGATTACAGGGTATTAAAAGACAAGTACTTAACGTTATTTGTCCACAATTACAGAGTATTAAAGTACAGGTAGCGCTGGCAATTGACCTCTTTAGGCAAATGCCATTATTTACAGGGTACTAAGGTACACGTACTTAATGCTGGCAACGTCAACTGCCAACAATTACAGGGTATTCAAGTAAACTTCCTTAACGCTGGCCGAATCGGCTTTTGTTCTTTTTCCTTTGCTTCCGCTTATTCATTTCATTCGACACAAAGCGAAAAAGAAAAAAAAAGTAATCCAAAAGAATGTAATTAATAAATGAACTTCATAGCGAATTCTGCTAAATGTGTGTGTGTGTGTGTGTGTGACAGCTTTAGCTGCGTGTGCTTGGGTCACATCAATTGTTAACTAATTTTGGACTTATCCTAAGCAGCTAAGTGGTCATTCAATTCAATTAGCAAACATTGCTAACAATTGAACAGTGTTCAGTCAGCATCTAGCTGGATGGGATGCCATTTGTATCTGTATCTATGAGATACACGCAGTCGCTTATGGCAGCATGCGGAATGCATTGCACTCAGCTATCGCCATTGTGATTGGGATTGTGCGTGTGTGTGGCTCTTTGTGTATGTGGCCTGTCGAACGTCAGCTGTTGCTATTGTTGCTGCTGCTGCTGCTGCTGCTGTTGCTGTTTGTTATTGTTGTCTGTCGCGACATTAGCGCGTGTTTGAGTGCCGCTTAAAAACGCCTCGTTAATCAATGTCGTCGCCTCGTGAGTTAATTGCAAATGTGACAGCAGCAGCAGCCGCAGCAGCAGCAGCAGCGACTGCGACTGCAACTGGCCCAAGCCCATTGCAACTGGCATTGCCCATGCTCATTTCTCCATTTCCATGTCCAAGTCCCGAGTCGAAATCCCATTTCATGTGCATCTCGATGCTCGCCGGCACTCGCACTCGTAAGTGCATTGCACCACTCTAGCATACGCCGGCCGACTCCGTTGCTCAACTGCGGTTGCCGCTGCGCGCTCTGCCACCCACTCGGACGCGGTACTCGTTGAGAGCTTTACGACACGAAATTCGTGTTGCCTGCTCGTTGCAGTTTTTGCTGGTGCCGTTGCTGCTGTAGTGAAAGTGTTTAGCCCATGTTTGCATATAAAAAGTGTTCTCGTTATTTCATTTTTAGCTGCATTTACTATTTGGCATACATTTTTACAAAGCCAACAACAACAACACACACCTCTTAAAAAGGTGCCGCTTGGCTCAAGATTCGGCCCGTTCGGCAGCTAACTTTATGTTTCGCTTTTTTTTGGTTTGTTTTGGTTTTTGTATTTGTTTCGGGGTGCATGTGGCGTATGCGCAATGTTAATTAAAAATTCAAGCCAAAAATACAATAGCGCAAAAAAGTGGAAACTGAAAATGAAAATGTTGCCGTTGCCGTATTTAGAGGTTGTTAAAAAATTTGCATAATTACAACCGCAATAGCAGCGGCAAAAGCGACAACAATGTAACCGACAATCGCCAATCTTAACTTATCTAATGTGAAGGCATGCAAAATAGCAGCGCGTATACGTACCGTTGTACACCCCAAAAAGTCGACAAACATATCTTCTATATAAATGCTCTTGCTGTTGCTGTTGCTGTCGTTCATTGTTTTTGCTTTGCGGTTTTAGGGTTTGGTAATCATGCATATGGCAATGATATTAAACAGCTGTGGAGTGGATCCGACAGGTTTATTGCTTGGACATCTCTCCTACCCGCCCGCAACTATAACTGTAACTGTGACTGCTGACAGATAACGCAGCGTAGAATGCTAGATTGCTGACATTCATAAGTTATGCCCCTTGATAATGAGCTAACTATCCGCACGCGCACGCTCAACAAGCCTGCTGACAAATGAAGCGACAGATAACTATTGAAAGCTAAAAGCTAATGCGTGGGCTACTTGGAACTATTGACTAGTTGAGTAATCTGTTCAAGCATAAGCATGTTATTCACGGCCACCTGCTGACGCCTTTCAGTGGTCTGCGAGGAGCGTTGAGGAATCGAGCATATGAATTGGAAAATGGCAATAGATATAAGATATGAGAAAAGATGTTGCAGCTGCTTCTTGAGCCACTCCACATCCAGTGGTAGGATACTCAGAGAAAGAGAGCAGCTCAGATCGTT